AAGCATGGATGGAGTGTTTGTGTGAACTAATATAAATTCAAAGTAAACATCATTACATAAAAGGGTACGGTCTTTTTTTTTTTTTTTTTAGTTTTATTCATTTTAAATGGGCCGTAGTTTGCCCACGCCTGGTATAGACAGTGAATATTTAGCTAACAATCTTGTTTTGGTGTATTGCTAAAACTGCCTGTTAGCTTGGGACATGTTTTCTCATTTTGTATTATTGCTGTTACACCTTTTGTTGACTGTCTTAATGGTTTTGATATTACAATCTTGAATTTTAGGGGACTCATAAAAACACATTATTTTTCCCTACCTAAATTTAGACCCAGTGGAGCAATAGATACATAAGTTGATTGGATGGGGATCAACATATCGCTTTTAATACTGAGAAAGCTGATTGGAGAATGCAGCTGATAGTGTGTGGCTGTGGTGGTGGTGCCCGTGCCACCCTGGTCCCAGGCACTGAGAACAGCTCACCTCCTCCAGATCTGCCCTGGACCCCATGGCAGAGAGCAGCACACGTGCATGTTCTCCGCAGTGAGGCAGACATCACAGAAGAGGGGCTGAGTCACATGTGGGAGGACAGGAGAGTCCAACAGAGTTGCTGTAGTGAAAGTCTCTCTACAAGGAACTTGAAGAATGGGGGCAACTGTCCCTCCCCCACGGTCTTCATACCTAGTTAAATGGGAATGCCTATTGCATAAGTCTCTGATAAAACTGATGTAACTACAGTTTGAACTAGGCTCCATGTATTCAGGTCTCTTAGGAAGAAAGGGCTTGTGAATTTTACAAATTACAAGAGTTTTTATAATTCCAGAACTTTTATGTTGTAGAGGTTTCAAAGATTGGCCTTTGATGGCAATATGATCTCTTTCAGCAACGTGAAATCCTTCATGAGATTCAGAGAAGGAAAGAAGAGATCAAAGAAGAGAAAAAAAGGAAAGAAATGGCCAAGCAGGTACACTATCCAGTCTGCCATACTAAAATGTTTTGCTAACATAAAATCTTATTGCTATGGATGATGTTTCCCCTTCCTGCGTTATTTCAGTAGTAAAGCTCAAAATGAAGCACTAAAAGAATCACCAAACAGGAAGCAAAATTTAGAATTGTATATTATCTGTAAGTGACTTAGGCTTATGCACCTCTGGTAGTTTATTAGATGAGTCGAGGGAGAGATGATATTGAAGTTTTGATAATTAACTCAGACTGGAATTCTTAATACTTGGAAAATAAAACAATTTGTTCTTACTGAGTAGTGACTGGAAACCATAAGGCTCTACTTGAGATTTCATTCAGTGATGGAAAAGGGATTTACAGAGCAGGTTTCAAAGCAGTGTGAAAAAGGATAAAGTCCTTTTTTCTATATTTTTCCTGTGTCCAGCTGAATAAAAATGCGTTACTCATTCCATTTTCCAAAATGATGGCAGTTAACTAAAAGGAAGCTATGAGGTGTGGTGGGAGGAGGCACTGATGTATGAGAAGCAGCACCTGGCTTAAAGCTTTGGCTTTTGTACTGGGACCTTTAGGTGACACGCTCTGTGACTTATTTTCCTTGTCCCTTAAAATGGGACTTATGATGTCCCCTTTCTGTCTCATGTAATTATTCCCACAGATACTAGTAAATATACTACCCTCTGAAAGTGCAAAGTTGTGTACAAATTGTAAGATGTTTCCACCAGGTCTCCTGCGTTATGTCTGATCTGCCTTCCCTCTTCCACCTTGCTCTCTCTTTGAATGCTTTCCGTTCTTTCCTCTTGTTCTTCTTTCTAACTTTTTATGCATATTCCAAGATTCTAACATTTCCATTTAAAACTGTAATCTGACCTTCAGTTCCTGAACCAGTACATATTTGGATATTAAATTGTTATCATTTTTATTTATTTTCCTTTTTATTTAACTTACTGGGGTAACACTGGTTAACAAAATTGTACAGGTCTCAGGTGCATAATTCCACAACACACCATCTCTACACTGTACTGTGTGTTCACCACCCCCGAGTCAAGTCTTAGTCCATCACCATTTATCCCCCCTGTACCCTCCTCCAGAACCACCCCACCCCAGCAATCACCACACTGTTGTCCGTATCCATGAGTGTTTTCTTGGACATTAAACTTTTAAAAGTTGAGTTCAACTTTATTATACTTGAAAGCATTTCGTTTAAATAAAATATGCACTTTCTCCTGAATTCATAATTATACACCATGATTGTCTTCCATTTATGACCTACGTCTAAAGTAGGTTTCCTTTTCTTTTTTTCTAGGAACGTTTGGAAATTGCTAGTTTTTCAAACCAAGATCATATCTCTAGGAAGGACCCAGGAGGACACAGAACAGCTGCTGTTCCACATGGAGGCTCTCCTGACTTTGTAGGAAACGGTAAACATCGGACCAACTCCTCTGGAAGATCTAGGTAAGTCCTTGAGATTTCTGATCTGGAAGAATGAAAGATGTAGAAGGAATAAAACAACTTGTTGTGAAAGTTGATGAATTTTCAGATAGTCGTTTTAATAACTTTTTCAAAGCCTATATGTCTTAATATACTATTTGTTAGCCATATGAAACAAAATTTTCATTTGTTTTAACACTTTCTAAGTATTTTTAATTAAACTAGTTTTATTGCTCACTCACCTTCATATCTATCACACTTCACAATCTTGCCTCCAGTGCAGTTTGATCTGACTTCCAATGATCTAACTAGTTAATAAGTGACTTAAAAATTTGTTCTTCCATCAGAATCATCATCCAGTCAAATTTCCACTGTATTTGTTTTTGGTCTGTAACTGCTTAGGCCCCACCACGGATGTGGGAAATGCTCCAAATGGGCGTGGTGTGTGTAGAAGATTCTTTACCTGAGAATGGAGCCCCAGTTTGTTGCCAGGGCTCCCCTTCCTGTAGCTGCTAAGGCCCCTGTCCTTGCAGGTGGGCTCCTGGGTTGTTCCCTGTCACCAGGGGTCATAGGAAAGATACTACCTCTTCCTCCACATCCTTTCCACTAAAAAATTGAGACGTCCCTACATATTTGTTGTGACCCTCTGTGGATCAGAAAGAAATTTTAGTACAGAATCCATTTATGAGTGGGTAGGTGATCAAGTAGTGTAGGTAGTATAATTCAGCTTCCTTATGTGTTTAAACTGTCTCTTGAGAATCTAAGCAACACTGAAAACCAACGTTTTTCTTCTCTGGAAAGAAACATTTTATTTATTTATTTTTAAAATATATTTTATTGATTTTTTACAGAGAGGAAGGGAGAGGGATAGAGAGTTAGAAACACCAATGAGAGAGAAACATCGATCAGCTGCCTCCTGCACACCTCCCAATGGGGATGTGCCCGCAACCAAAGTACATGCCCTTGACTGGAATCGAACCTGGGACCCTTCAGTCCAAAGGCTGACGCTCTATCCACTGAGCCAAACGAGTTAGGGCGAAAGAAACATTTTAGATACAAAATTAAAGACATATAAACTTCCAGGTTATAGATTCTTCATAAGAAGGAAACGTTTCAGTTCTTTCTCTAATTACTGACTTTAAAAAAAATCAGCTTAGAAATCATTTGGATATTAACATTTAGTCACCTACTGTTAAGGTGAGCTGAATTTTCTCTTGAATACTGTTTCTGGTAACAATTTAATTTTAAGTTATAACTCCTTACACTAATTTAGATTATTTTTGCAACTGGGCTTCCAGTAGGCAACATAGTTTGAAGTTGACAGCATTTCACTAAGAAATACTTAACAAATTTCTATTGTGTTAGAATCAGCAGTGAGTGCGCTCAGCATGGCTAGAGGTGAACCTGAGGGGAGGCAGTGAAGGATTAAAGAAGACAGACAAGAGAATATAGCTGGGTCTAGGTGGGACGTTGCTCTCGGATGGAGAGACAGTGCCACAGCCTGCAAGCCGAGTCTTTATTTTATAGCCAGATTCCACAAGGCAAAGTAAGGGCGTGGTCAAGATGTTTACAATATTCTCTGGGTTTCGAATCTACTCAATTACATGCACCTGAACTCTATCAAGCTTTGTTTTGGCAGCACTTGCTGCACCTCCTGCAACCTATATCACTTAGCCACCTAGGACCACAGGTTCAGACTATACCAGTGGTTCTCAACCTTGGCTGCACATTAGAATCACCTGGGAATCTTTTTAAAATCCTGATTTCTGGGCCTCAGCCTCCGGAAATTCTATTTCTTTGTTACTAATGTTGTGGCCCCACCCCATAACAAAGAAACAGAATTTCCGGAGGATGAGGCCCAGAAATCAGGATTTTAAAAAGATTCCCAGGTAATTCTAATGTGCAGCCAAGATTGAGAACCACTGGACTGTACGGTCAAGCTTACAACCATAGCCTTTGCTATAATTGTGCTTTGCCCTCAAGCTGGGACTTGCATGTGGCCTTGCCACAAGAGGACCGTGCCCTCTCATTAGTCCAAGGCTTGAACCTGTCCAAACGCTGTAGCCGCTCTCCACACAGCAGAAATAAATCAATGCTATGAGTAAGTCTTTCTGGATATATTAAAACAGTTTTTTAAGTTTAAACATTTCCATTTTTGTGACTAACTATAAACAATGGGTCTAAGATTAGATTTGCTTTTAAGATCAAAGATCATTTGCAAGTTTACTCAAGTGGGATGGGGGAATTCTCCCTTTGACATAGGTAGGAAAAGTTTTTTTGTTATGCTCTCTAAGAGTGATATTTGTATGTCTTGGGTAGAAAAACATCCCATGAGCATCCAAGAAGGAACATGAAATAGTTTTCATCTAATGTTTGCCAAAATATTGCACATCCCTGCATGAAACTCTGTCACTGTGTTGACTACTGACTAGGAAAGAATGAATCTTTAAGTGTAGTTCATGTGCTTCCTTGGTAAAGAAATAAAAAGTCCTTGAGCCGAAACCGGTTTGGCTCAGTGGATAGAGCGTCGGCCTGCGGACTGAAAGGTCCCAGGTTCGATTCCGGTCAAGGGCATGTACCTGGGTTGCGGGCGCATCCCCAGTGGGAGGTGTGCAGGAAGCAGCTAAATCGATGTTTCTCTCTCATCGATGTTTCTAACTCTCTATCTCTCTCCTTTCCTCTCTGTAAAAAATCAATAAAATATATTTAAAAAAAAAAAAAGTCCTTGATATACCAAAGTACTTCATGATTTACTCTTGATGTTGTTCCTTCCTTGCTGTTCATTGGTCTTTATGGATTAGAAAGTCAAAGGAAATAAGCATAGTGTTCCATTTTATTCTTTTATTTTTCTTCTCCTAAAAACCAAATACATACATATTTTTAGGTGAACGCCAGAGACATCAGTGACATTGGTTTTCACCTCTTTAGTCCTACTTTTTTAACTCAGTGGGATTTACTTTTTATCCTTCAGAATTGTTCCAGCTGCCAGCCTGTCTTAGGTAGCATGTACCACATTTGCCATTTTTTTGGCACTTTTATTTTAATCATAATGATACATCTTTTCTTATTAGCACTCTTAGCCATCTCATTGTGTTGGTATTTAACTGTCATGATGGGATGATGAGTATTCTAAAACTCTAAAAAATAAAACCAAACATTTACACACTGTAAACTAAGGAACGTAAAGATGACCTAGACTAAAATGACTATCAGCACCATCGTTGGAGAAGGCAGAGCTGATGCAGAGGTGCTTCTAAATAATTTATGTTAATAAGTCTAATATATCATTTTAAATCTTTGCTTTTATTATTTTCTCCATAAACCAGTGTGCCCCTGGTTGCATGAGTAACTTTAGAAGTACAATGTATTAGTCATTCCCTGGTGTTAGAATATGTGGACACATGAGACTCATGTCAAAATGGGTCTTATGTGCAGTGGGGTGGGGAAAGGGAAGATGTAGGATTGGAGGTGGAGAGACCAGTTAGTAATGGAGCATTACATGTGCCCAGGGGAACGTTGGAGATGATCTCAACAGGGCAGGGGGAATGGAGAGTATGATACTTGGGGATCAGTTAGATGTAGGAGGTCTGGGAGCCCAAGGAGACTTATGCTTTTGACTCGAAACAGAATAGATGACTATGCCACAAACAAAAATAAAAGAACCCAGGGGAAAAGCCAGATTGAGAGTGGGTAAGAGGGAGGTGGTAGTTTTATTGACATTGCAGTAGCATCAAGAGTAAGTAGAGGGGCAGAAGTGGAGACAGCAAGTGCAGAAGTTTGAAAACAAAGAACAAGAGGACGTAGAGATGGGAGAGATGTATAGCTGAGGGGAAGGAGCTAATCTAGAGGGGAGATTGAACATACAGGAGAGAGGGACAGCCAGTGCACCAAGATCCCAGAGAGGCTGTAGGAAATGGAACCGAGGACAGCATAGCTGGCCTTCCTCAGAGACTGGGAAAAAGAAAGAATGTACAGATTCCAACTAATTTTTAGGTGGAACAATAGAAAGTGTGGGCTTTATTCCCCATTGCCTCGTGTTCTGTGTGAAAGTAGAAGTCAAGATCGTGCTTAGAATGAGAGGGCTGCTTTATATTTATCCAGATGCCTCATCAAAGCATTTCTTAAAAGTGTCCAATCCTGACCATCAAGAGTGCTCTCCCTGGCCTCTTCCCTACTTCCCTCTCCCCAATTTATTTATTACTTTTGCATTATAATCTACCTTCCCAGCAGTTGCTTCCCACTCAGGAAAAAAAAATGTAGAATGGAGAAAGAGAGGAGGAGGATTTGGCTTTAAGTGTTTTAGAGACTTCATTAAAAGGAAATGGCAGAGTATCTATCATTCAGTGGTTGGGATCCCATTTGGAGAATGGGAATTTGAAGTGCTCCAACCCCCCCCACCCCCCCGCTTTTTTAGCTTTCCCCAGATGTTCATGTGCATCTGAAATGAAGATATTGTGGGGTCAATGTGGTTGAGCTAAATCTCTGTAGAACTGCTGTGATGATGAAAATGTTTTATACCAGTGGTTCTCAACCTTCTGGCCCTTTCAATACAGTTCCTCATGTTGTGACCCAACCATAAAATTATTTTCATTGCTACTTCATAGCTGTAATGTTGCTACTGTTATGAATCGTAATGTAAATATCTGATATGCAGGATGGCCTTAGGCGACCCCTGTGAAAAGGTCGTTCGACCGCCAAAGGGGTCGCGACCCACAGGTTGAGAACCGCTGTTTTATGCTAATGTTGGCCACTTTTGGCCACTAAGTACTTAAATGTGACTACTACAGTCGAAGAACTGAATTTTTTTTAAAAAGTTCTTATTGACTTTAGAGAGAGAGGAAGGGACAAGGAGAAAGAAACATCGGTTGACTGCCTCCTGCAGCCCCCTACTTGGTATCGAGCCTGCATCTGGGGCATGTGCCCTGACTAGGACTCAAACCAGCGACCTCTCAGTGCATGGGACAATGCTCAACCAACCGAGCCACACCAGCCAGGGCGAAGAACTGAATTTTCAATTTAATTTTAATTAGTTTAGATTTAGATATCCACATGTGGCTAATGGCTGCCACATTGGACAGTGGAGATCTAGAGTTGGGGGTTTGTAGAGTTCATGTGGGAAAGACCTCAATGGGAAATGGGGGAGCTGAACAACTTTCCCATTAGCCCCTTAAGCTCAATTCCCAGTAGGAACAGATGTGAGACTATGAATAGTCTAGTAAACAGGAGAAAATGGAGGGGCAAGAAGGTGGAAAAAAATAATCATGTCCAAATTTATTTTTAAGGCGAGAGCGGCAGTATTCTGTATGTAATAGTGAAGATTCTCCTGGCTCTTGTGAAATCCTGTATTTCTCTGTGGGTAATACTGATCAGCTCATGGTGCACAAAGGAAAATGTATTGGTGAGTAAACTAGCTAAATTCATTCAACCTTTCTAACAACAAAAGTTAATCATGAAGAAATGAGGTAGAGTAGACACCCCGGCCTCTAGACCGTACAGCCCAAGGAAGACGGTGAGCTGATAGTCGGTCATTCTAGCTCCCATTCCTAATGGCCACAATGAGAAGTCCCTCAGGCTTCCCCTTCTGTAAGATAGAAATTAAAACCTAGGCTCTTGGAAATATTGTTAGCAGGAAGATAATTTAAATTTCATCATCATTATAATCACTTGAGCTTTAGAAACCAAAATGGTTGAAATATTATGAATTAGTAGAATTTTGCATCATGTGCATTTGTTACTGATGAAATATATGTAACAAAATGAGTTCTAATGCCTATAATCTTTTCTTTAAATAGTTTTTGTTTTCAATTACAGTTGACGTACACTATTACATTAGTTTCACTAATGCCTGTGATCTTTACTGACCAAATCCTATTTTCTTAAGTTGATATCCATCTACTTGGTTAGCATTTTCCCAGTACGCATGTTGTGCCTGACTAGGAAAACCATTTTCTTTTTTCCCATTTTATTCTCTATGTATCTTATTTAGTAGTTTTGTCTATTGATGGCTATTTGGAGTGAAGTGGTTCAGCAATTTGTGATTTGAATTGTTTATGCTAAAATCAAGTTTTCATTATCTACTCCTTTGCCCTAAATGCCATCATCTTTTATCAGCCATCTATATATATAAAACCCTAAGCAACCAATCGACTGTTTGACCGGTCGCTATGATGTGCACTGACCACCAGGGGGCAGATGCTCAACGCAGGAGCTACCCCAGGTTCAGGGCTGGCGAGTGCAGCTCATGTGGCACTACCAAGCTGCAGCAGCAGGCTCAGCGGGCCAGGATGAGTGGGAGTGGTGCAGTGCCCAGCCGCCTGCCGCTTCGGTGCTGGGATCAGCCAAAACTGGCAGTCAGACATCCCCTGAGGGGTCTCGGATTGCAAGGGGGCACAGGCCAGGCGAGGGACCCCACCGGTGTACGAATCTATATACCGGCCTCTAGTACTGATATAACCACTAAGTGGCGTAGAATCACTTGTATAGAATTAATTTGACAATTTTTTTTTCAAATTATAAGATAAAGCTTATTTAGAAAGTTACAGAAGTAGAAGTGAGCCAGCTGTGCTACATAAGTGCAGGAAACAAGTTACAGAGGCAGAAGAAGGGCCCTAAGAGCTTAGCAGAAAGGCAAATGTAAGGTGTCTGGGAGGAAGAAGTGGGTGTGGTTGTGCCCTCCCACCCTACCCCACCCCACCCCAGCCCCAGGGAGAACATGCCTAAGTTTAATGTTTAATTCCATGAATATGGTAGCCACATTACCTAAATTGAGTTTGCTTTTTTTCGGTGTCTTTTTCCCTTCCTCTTTAAGGAGTTACAAATAAGCAGGGGAGCTGCCAGGAAGCAGGCAGCAGGTGGGAGGAGAAGAAACCAAGTATCTGAATGGTCTGTGAAATGGACACTTGACCTTGGCTGGACTGGACAGAATTCTTTTCATACACAGAGCCTGCCCTGTTCAAAGTGGCCACTGGACAGGTTCAGGACCTTGGTAGAGATGATTAACTTTGGTCTTGAGACTGTCCTTGACTTCGGGCATTTCAGGCTCATGAATTGGCAACATAAAACTCACTACTTTTAATAATCTGGGAGATCGGGAAGAGAAATCAATCTAACTACTTATTACCTTAACTTGGTTTCCTATTCTCATTGATAGTTATTACACATATTCACCTTAGTTTATACCCTCATCAGAAGACATTTGTAATCTGAAAGTTTTTTATAAAACAATTGCATAAATTATTTTGTTTTCTCACAATGGGTCTAGTTTTTAAAGTATGTTCTAATTTTCTGTGAAATATTTTTATAAAAGATCTACTAATTAATATTTTGTTTTCAGTTTAAAGCCATTAGAGCTTCCTTATGGATAAAGCACGATAGAAACTGTCTGCATAAATGATGACCATTGTTAGCGTATTATAGACTCAGTTTGAGTTCTTTCTGTGACATATTTTCCTTCAGCCTCATTACAGTGTGTTCTTTTGTCCTTTATTAGCCCCATCATGCAAAAGTGACAGGGAGAGGCAACAATAAAAGTAGTGAAACAAAAAAGACCCAGCAATTGTGAAATACCTATCTAGCCCCAGTTGGGAAGAGGATATTTAAGGCATTGTACTGTGTAATGTAGTTAAGCTTTTTATGTAAATAACATCATAGTTTATCCCATCAGTATGTGATATCTGTGTCTCTAGTGTGTGTGTACTACTTAGATCCCACATTGCACAGGTTGCTTCCTTTGGTTGACATCGGGGGTTTTTCTGCTTAGCCTAAGAATGTCAGGATTTGTTTATGACTAGCGTTAACAGATCATTTTAATTAAACCTTTTTAAATTGTCAGCATTTCTATGAAGTGAAAACTGCTTCTCAGATAAAAAGTTTAGGTGTGCTAGTTCAGCCATATTTCTCAAAGTATTTTTGCTAAGGCCTCTATGTCCTACATATGCAGGTTTCTTCACTTTTCAGATTTTAAATGGAAAAAAAAACACATTACAGTGGGGCCTTGACTTATGAGTTTAATTCATTCTGTGATGGAGCTCGTAACTCAAATCACTCGTATGTCAAATCAAAAAGTGAATGAGTGAGACACATGATGCTGGCTGGGCTGATGTTGTGGCGTTCACTGTGACGTTCGCTGCACCAACTAGCGGTGGGGTATCTGAAGCTGGCTCGTAACCCGAATTTTAGCTTGCAACTCAAAGCAAAAAATTGGCAAGAGACAGCTCGTATCTCGAAAAACTCGTTAGTCGGGACACTCGTAAGTCAAGGCCCCACTGTATTTCTTTGAAAAAAGTTTTTCATTTTGAGAACAGTGCAACATCACAGGAAACTATTATTTATATAATAAGAGAAACAGGCTCAGTGGTTGAGCATCGACCTATGAACAGGAGGTCGCAGTTCAATTATTGGTCAGGGCACATGCCTGGGTTACAGGCTCAATCCTCAGTAGGGAGCATGAAGGAGGCAGCCGATCAATTATCATTGATGTTTCTGTCTCTCTCCCTCCCCCTTCCTCTCTGAAGTCAATAAAAATATATTAAAAACAAAAAATGGTGGTATTGTGGGTGATTTTTTTGTCATTTTTAATGTTTTTGCAATTTTCAATAATAGTCTTTAATGAAAATATAGATTTTTATATACTGCAAAGGGAATAGAGCCACTGATATTATAATGCCTTTGTACAGTGGCAGATGGTTACTAGATGTGTCATGGTTATCACATCACAAAGTATACAAATATCAAGATCACCATGCTGTATACCTGAAATGAATACAATGTCACATGCCAACATACTTTAATTACAAAATTTAATGAAAATATAGATTTTTATAAGAAAAATTTTGGTGTTACAGAAATTGAGCACTCCAGGTACAAGTGAAAACCATATACCTATCACTAAATAAATGTATATCTTTCTAGCTTCAAATTTAAACTGTCATTTCTGGTTCCTTCCCTCAAAACTTTTAGCTAGTATGTATTTACTGAATGCATTCAGATTTTGTGTTTAGAAAAATCATTGTTTTCAGATTTCCAGATTACTAAAACTTGTTTACACTGTGCACACTGATGCACATTGATGAAGTAATCTGGTGGAGTGTTTCTGTTTCCAAATTCCTTCTGTCACATTAGTTGGTATTTAGCTTTGCAAGGGTTCACTATCGCGCTGAGAGGTGTCATCAGAGGTGAACTGGTTATGAAAGTAACATTGTGAATCCTGGCTACTAGGAGAACACTCATCAGATACTAAGATCTCACTGCTGATTTTTGTCCCTTTATAGTAATTAGTATTTTGGGGTTCAGAGTATATTGATAAATATTAAAACTTAGTTACAAAGAGCATACATTATATGAAATCATATTTTTCTTAAGTAGCACATGGCATCCACTGGCAAATGAATGCCATGTATATATTTTTTATCCCCACAGAAAGTGTACCAGTGAGTGTTAATTACATTTTTCTCTTAATGTGCAGCCTGTGATGAGCAGCTTGGAAAACTAGTCTACAATGCTTTGGAAACAGCCACGGGCAGCTTCGTCTTGTTGTATGAGTGGGTCCTTCAGTGGCAGAAAAAAATCGGTCCTTTCCTTACCAATCAAGAAAAAGAGAAGATTGATAAGTGCAAAAAGCAGGTAGGCCATCCGAAAGGGCTCACTGAGCAAAGGACCTAATTTCAAGCTTTAGGAGTTGACAGAAAGCTGTGCATTTGATTGGCTAGTAAAGGTGATCAGAATGATATGAGATCAGTTTAACCAGAGGGATGGAGGGGGACCAGCTCCATTTTTACCAGTTTTCTCAGCTTCTTGCTTCCTCTTTCCGAACTTTCACAGCGTGACCCAAACTTTTGCAGCTGATTTCTTAACCTTCTTTCTCAGCCTCTATTGTGGCATTAATTGCCATCTCTCAATAGTGCTACAAAGGCATGCTTTTTGCAATCTTTTGAAATATTGCTTAAAAACTGAATTCTAGGGGACTTGAGAAGTTTAGAGTAATTTATAACACTGAGTTTAAGGAGAACATTTAATATTACATATTGCAGTGTTACATAATAAAAAGGTAACAAAACTGTAGGTTAAAGTCTTGTGTTTAGAAGGCATGTGTATTTCCGATAGAAGAAATTCTGGAAGTAAATACCAAAATCATAACAGTTGTCTTTCAGTGGTAATCACATAGATAATTTGTTGTTGTTGTTGTTATTTATGGGGTTTTTATTTTGTATTAGTACTTATTAAAATGTTGACCGTTAATCTTTATAATCAGAAAGGGTTTTTTTGAAATTAATTATTTTGAAATTAATGTTTCCTTTTTCTGGTAGCCTATTGCAAAAGAAATTTTAAAAACTGCTCACTAATTCTATAGTATTTATATACTAGGTTTTGAGATCAAAGAAGTTGAGAATTAACTAAATTTTTTCCACTTTATGAACTAATAGGTTGACCATATGGTTTAGGGGAGGGTCAGTTTAGGGCATATTCCTTCTCTTATCCTTTCAAAGTATGTTTTCTATTAAATATTTCACTTTTGAAGTAAAACACCAGATACTGCAGATCAACCCAATATTACCCCTTTTTTCCTTATCAGATCCAAGGGGCAGAAACAGAATTCAACTCACTGGTAAAGTTGAGCCATCCCAATGTAGTACGCTGCTTCGCAATGAATCTCCGAGAGCAAGACGACTCCATCGTGGTGCACATTTTGGTGGAGCACTTCAATGGGGTCTCCCTTGCTGCACACCTGAGCCACACAGGCCCCATCCCTGTGCCTCTGCTTCGCAAGTACGCAGCTCAGCTCTTGTCGGGCCTCGATTATTTGCACAGCAATTCCGTGGTGCACAAGGTTCTGGGTACCTCGAGTGTCTTGGTGGACGCAGAGGGCACTATCAAGATTACAGACTACAGCATTTCTAAGCGCCTCGCAGACATTTGCAAGGAGGATGTGTTTGAGCAAACTCGGGTTCGTTTTAGTGACAGTGCTCTGCCTTATAGAACGGGGAAGAAAGGGGATGTTTGGCACCTTGGCCTTTTGCTGCTCTCTCTCAGCCAAGGACAAGAATGTGGAGAGTACCCTGTGACCATCCCTCGTGACTTACCTGCTGACTTTCAGGATTTTCTAAAGAAGTGAGTATCATTGAGATTCTCTCCAATTGCACTTCACTGCTGTGCTTTTATTGTGCTTCGATGCTAAACATCTCAGTGATGTGTATAAGCTGAGAAGTGAGCCACAGAGTTAGAGTTTATTCTTTGTTTTCTCAGTTCTTTTCCAGCCACATATGTTCTGTTTCCTTATGTTTATGATTCCCTTAACTCCCACATTTTCCTAAATTCACTTAGGCTTAATAATTGATTTTTAAACGCTTTTTGGGGACTGCCTGCTCTAGGAAGTCTGGAAGGATGGCTACGGTGGATATACCCCAGGTAATACAAATGGAAGCGCCTCTCTGTCTACCTTTGCTTCTAGTTCCTAAGGGATCACAGGCAGGGCCTCCTATTTAGAAAACATCTTTAGGAGAGTAGTAATTCTGCCCCTTATTATTTTTTTTCTAAGAATTTTAAAGAGAAGAAGGGAGAAGGGGGGAGAGAGAGAAATATCAGTGTCAGAGGGAAATCAGCTGCCTCCTGCACGCCCCCTACTGGGGATGGAGCCCCCAATCTGAGCATGTGCCCTAACTGGAATCGAACTGGCAGTCTTCGTGTGCACAGGACAATGCCCAACCAACTGAGCACATCTTCTTCTTCTTAACCATTCTTCTTCATTAGCAATGTCTCATTCAGCCAAGCCCTGGAGTGCAAATGACTTCCTTGCTCTAGCCAGAAGCTTTTCGACATCTGTGAATTACAGGTGCACATTTAATTGCAGAGCCAAGTTTTATCCGCTTTAAGAGAATCCTTACTGAGAGGTTTCCCTCTGGCCTAGTCTTTGTGCAGGTCTTTTCACTCAGTGCTTTCTAGGTGAACCCTGCCTCTGCTCTCAGTCCAAGCCAGACCTACGTTCTCTGTTGCTCTATTAAGTGAGAAATAAGGTCTCTTAAGTTTTGGTTTTTCTAGATACTCCCCTAGTCCCCCTTTCCAGCAAGTTGATCTGGACTGGGTTTCTTCTCTAACAATCCGTCTTATTTCTCACCTTATTTCTTTTTCCCAGCCATTCATTTTAATTCATTTCATTCAATCCCTACATTTCATTTCTTTTCCTTTACCCTTAACATTTCTTCTTCTATTTCCATCTATCCCAACTGCCATCTGTCTGACCTAATCCATGTTGTTATTTCCTGTCAGGAATGGAATACCTATTACAAAGTAAAGTAGCTGCACTTATCTTTATTTTTTAAAATATAGTTTTATTGATTTCAGAGAGGAAGGGAGAGGGAGAAAGAGAAAGAAGCATCAATGAAGAGAGAGAATCATTGATCGGCTGCCTCCTGCACACCCCCTATTGGGGATCAAGCCCACAACCCAGGCATGTGCCCTGACCAGTAATCAAACTGTAATCTCCTGGTTCATAAGTTGATGCTCAACCACTAAGCCACACCGCTGGGCAACTGCACTTATCTTTAAACAAGATAGCTCCTATGTGCCATAAAATAGATGTAGACATGATATACATACAGTTGTGAAAATGGGCCAACTTTGATTCTTATGCTGTGTTCTCTCCTTAAAGTATATTTTACATGGTCAAAAGATAAGAGCAAATTGAAGAATAATAT